TCACGATCAAAGTCCAAGCCTATAACGTCCAACATTCCACGAACATAGTATACAGGGTACTGGTCCACAGCACGACATTAACACCTTCACATTTTTGCTGATCTTTAATAACTTGTACTTTTTCATTATTAGATTTATCAAAAAATGGACAATTGATATTAGAACTTCCACCTTTACCACTTTGTGAGTATTGGATCTAATAATGTTAAATAGATATTATAATTAAATTATTAATTATAATAAAATTTATTGTAATTTATATTAAAAATACAATTTACATACATCATGAAATACAACTCGAGCTTTGTCTCTCATTAATTTTTGAATTTGAATATCATCTTTACATCGCTCTTCAGAATAATTTTCATTGTCAATAAAGTTATATATAATTGCGTATCCTTCAAGATCAGTAGGCGGATATTCAACAGAAATAGCTGAAAATTGAATATGCCTTGCAGTTAAATTTTTGGTAAAGTAAGCAATTTCTTCAATATTATCATCATCGCTCTAAAAATAATTTATTAATTTTCAATATGTATATATTTAACTTTTTTAATTTAAACAAAAATATATAAAAAATTTACTTGTTTATTTATTTCGTTAAAATCAATTTCCTCAAAGGTATCGTCAGTATCCGAATTAATATTAATAAAAGAGGCCATATCGAAATTAGAAAAGTTTTTGTTTTATGTATTACAATAACGATAAAAACAGAAAACTGCTAATACTAAAATATTCGCTTGCATAATTATGCTAATAATATTAATTATGTATCATACATTATATAATTTTGTATAAAATTTATTAATATGATAATAAATATATTGTACATCAAGTAATTATATAATAACAATAATATACAAACTGTATAGAGTATATTTATTAGTTATACATTCTGTATATACCACTATACATTATGTATAATATAGCATACTTGACATCTTTGTGATTATATACTATACATATATAATATAAATTCTACTGTAAGGACCTTTGTAAAAAATATACTCAGACGTACGCATGATGCATAAAAAAAATATGATTCGTATACTGATCGATTGCATAAAATATATTATAATTTTGAAAGTAAAATTGATTTGGTGATGTGCTAATGCAATGCTTCGTAATTACTTGATAAATCAAAATTGCTATAAAATACTACAAAAAAAATATGATTCGTATACTGTTGTTCGATTGCATAAAATATATGATAATTTTGCAAGTCAAATTGATCTGGTGATTTGCTAATACAAAGCTTCGTAGTTACTTGATAAATCAAAAATCAGATGATCGCTATAAAATACTACAAGCTTTAGCATTACCACGTCTTTTGCTTAATGATATAATTGAAATATGGATTTTGAATTATCTGATGTTGAAGAATATCAATTTGATTCAGTGAATCCTGAATATGAACTGGAGGTACATATTGTTAATAAAATTTTCTTAACTATTATCAATCGTGTTAAAATTTTAAATTATTATAAGGAACTGTCTGAAACTAAATCTTTAAGCGAAGAGTCAATAAATAATAATAGTGATGAAGAAGTTTCTTAAGTTGCATGCTTCACATCTTGTTTTCTTGTAAAAACCATAATTCATTCAAATGCACCCATTGAATATCCATCAATCTCACAAGATGATGCAGCTACTATATTTCATATTACTGATTGGGCAGATCCAAGCCATGCATGAAAAATGTAATATTAAACATATTTTTTTTAGGGGGTTAGTTTTTATACCCCTCAAATTTATTATTCATACCCATATTTATCTAAATTTTTTTTACTATGGGGGATTCTGAGAATACAAAATCCAGTTGGTCTACAAAACATGAACATGG